CTGGTATATGTTGTGATTCTCAACTGTGGGCATAACTAGGTATCAAAATAATTTATGATAATGAGGTGTTTTAGTTGGGGTGGAGTTAAATCTGAAATTCTGCATAGGCAGGCAGAAAAAGGATGTTGAAAATTCCACAAATTCCTTTTTCCACATCTGGGATAACTTCCAGTTTCAGAATTCTACCAGGAGAAAAAGAATTCTGAAGAAACTGTGCTGGGGGGAGCATGGCTTTAGTGACCACCACAAGCTTAAGCATGCTGTGCTTTAAATTGCTAGTCCATTTTGCCTTATAGGGATACAGCAAAAATCTACTTTGATACAAGGTCTGCTGTTGTTGCATTTAATCTGCCTTTGACACTAAGGGCTACCTCAGACTTAACGGAGCAACAGGGTTTGCTGCAGAAGGGCCAGTGTTAACTACTTGTGTTTCTCCCTCAGCTGGAATTCTTAGTTGGGCCATGGATTCCTAGCACATACACACCGGCACTGAAGGACATATACTTTTTTTTCACACCCTGTGTTTCTGCTGCAGAAACACCAATGCATCCCACTGGCATACCCAAAGTTCACACAACTGATGTGGAAAATATTAAGTGGCCCTCCTAAGCATTTCCTGGCAATGTGAGGTTTTGGAAATGTCATATTATCTTAACTTGACAGTATATTTCAAGTACAGCACAAAATTCCACCCTTTCCCAAATCTATTTCAGAACAGTTGAAGAAGAAGAAGAGAGAGAAAAGAACAAGCCTTAAAAAAAGGGATGTGTTTTATGTTTAAAAAAAGTTGTAACACTGTTCTCAATTCTTCAAACTGAAACTTCCTCCCAAATATATGTAATTTCACTGCTGCAGATCATTGAGATGTACAGCAATGCACTGTTCAAACATCAAACTTCAAAAGACTAAAACTACTTTTTTCCGTCTTTCCAGTAAAAACCTGAAAAGATGCTAAAGATTATCTATCACAAGGCACTGCAAATCTTTGCAGGCAGAACAAAGAGGCTGCATTATACATGGGAAACAGGATCTTCTGTCCAGGATGGAGAGAGGAGGAAAGAAAGCTGCAAAACAGCCATGTGGCTCTAAGATTTATGAGCTCCACATGCCATTTTTAGAAGTTAAATTAAAAAAATTAGCTTATCTTCACAACCATTTCAAAAGGGGGGGAGTGTTTTAGGTAGGTTTGACAAATCAGTCCCAAACACCATTCAGCCAAAGTGCTCTAATTTAAGAGGGTGTGATTCCATTGATTTAAATGGCACTCAGTTGGTTTAAGTCCATATACTTTGCTTTAACTATACTGTACAATAGTGAGATGCAGCCTCCTCTCCACTCCTCTTGCTCAAAATATTCATCAACAAAGCAGGCTAGCTTGAACATTCAAAAAACATTACAAATCTGTTACAACACCCCAGAGACAAACATTTAACTCTGTGGATTCAAAATAAAAGCAAAGCCTAGCGATTCTCAGTCCATATATATGAAGGGGGAAGTGAGTCCATCTATATATGCATCAGCAAATATTTCAAAGACTCTGAAGAAAGCAGCCCACTGGTATGCAAAATATTCTGACTTTCCAAGTAGAAAGGAACTGTTAAGACTCTATATAAATGAAACAAAGTACAGAAGGATCATGACCCCACTAAATTAAACTTTCTCCATAGTCAATGGCCCATGTAAGTAACCGTCAAACTAGCTATTTGCTGCCAAAATGAACTCACAAGAGCAGCCACATGGGGCAGCTGAAGTATCGCTTATAAAAATGGGGGCTGTTTGGAGTATAAAGGTCCAAGCAGTGGTCACCCTTCATATTAAAGTCTACAGTAAATTCCCAAATATAAGGGTTTTGAATTGGCACATTTTTTTTCTTTTTAGGTTGGATGTGGCTAAAAACCTAGGATGTTTGCCACATACAATGCTGGTAATTTTTTGTTACTTCCATAGATACTTGCAGTACTTCCTTAGTGTGCAACAATTCTCTGCAAATATGGACCGCTTGCTTAATCTTGGCACTAGGTGACCAAGAAGAGCAACCGCATGCACATCTTACGCTTCTAAGCTAGGGGGCTCTATCTGTCTCAACCACTGTGAGTTTAGCCGAATCTTAATGCACATGACCCTGGTTCCATGCATAATTTTCAGTCAATAAAAAAGTATGTTAGATATGGATTACCAGCAAGGTGCAAATGAGAGAGAGATAGTAGAAAGGCTTTTTAAAAAAAATCTCTAGGCAACTCTCTCCCCTCTGTTCCCACTTTATATGCTATTGTTGCTCCCACCCTGTCCACAACAGAAGATCTGTAGCAGTTACAAAATAAGCTTGGAAAAAATATCAGCCCAAAACTCAAGTACAAAAATCAGGCCAACAACCCAAATGCATCTTTTAAATGCAGTGTGCGTATGAGGACCCCCAGCTGCCATTAAACAGACAGATGATCTAAACTGCCTAGAGACAACCACCAGCCTTGTAAAAGGAACTAACTGGTGGCAAATATGGATGTACCCACCTTCAACAGATTGAAAGACAGCTAAATCAAGTCATACATACATATATATATATTTTACCCCTAGGCAGCCTGTGTAATCTGAGCTGCCAAAGAAACCTAACAGAAAATCAAAGGAACACTAGTGTCACTCTTCACCGCCCCTCCCTCCCCTTCAGGAAATTAATTCAAAAGCCAATATGTGTACAACTTAAAAAAGAATTACTATCATTCTCAAAACAGTAGCAACAAAAGCAAACAAGGGGTAAGAATGGCAAGGAAGGCTCATTAAGAATAAGCAGCACATGGGCATGCTGTCCATCTCAGAAATAATGAGATGCACAGGCCAAAGCTCTCTCAAGTACTTAAAAAAATCCCCACCCTACCCCCAAAGAAAATTAAATCAAGTATTCAAAGAGGAGAATGCAAAGACAGTCTCCTTCCACTCCCATCACACTTTGCTGCAATGGGGAATTCAGCTCCACCCCACCCCCCAAAATCCAGGCCGCAGAATGCAAGGCAGAGGAATGGAATCATGAGTTATAGGCACAGTCCCCATATCTATCATCCTGAAGCCATCCACCTTCATTTGGGACCTGGAGGAATGGGAGCTGGATTCTGCACAGGTGAGGCTGGGTAAGGTGGCATGCCTATCCCTGGCTGGAAGGGTCCCACAGGCTGGCCAGGGATGACCACGGGCTGCTGGACTGTCCCTGAAATTCCCATCCACTGCACTGGGTAAGTTGTCCCCGTCATTGTGTTGTACTGACATACATGGGGCACTCCGTAGGGTGTCAGTGTGCCAGAAAAGGGTGACAGGGGAAGTCCTTGGGGTAAAGCAGTCGGTATGGTCCCACGGATCTGGGAAAGGGAGGAAATCCATGTAGAGGTGTAACCCATCGTTGATGTTGTTGTCTTTAAAAAGAAGAGAAAACAGACACTATTTAAAGTGAGAGTTAAAAATTGTCCATAACCTATAAACTGCCCTAGATTTCATTAACATGGGAAGATTTAATATAGGAAGTAAAAAAGACTCCACCCCCTACTAGTTAGGAGAAGAAGCCAAGCTGAAATTCCCCAGATAGCTGTGAAACTTGCTTGGTGACACAGCTTCCCCCTTGCTCTGTCACCCTGAACTACCTGATAGAATTGTTGCTCAAGTGAAAGTGGGCAGAAGAGGAAAGCAAAATCATGATTGGATCTTCCAACTACCATTCAATTGCAATCTCTCTCCGCATCTCTCATTACTGTCCATGCTGGTTAGCTTATGAAGTCCTTTGTCTCCAACATCAAAAATCCATACTCTCCATGCAAATTCTGCCCCCCCACAACCTTAATACCTCATATACTTTGCTCCAGCTGTCGCTGTCCAGCCGGTGCTTGTTCTGTTTGATCTGGTTCAGGCTTGGCTTGATAAGAGAGTTCCCCACCTTTTCTTTTGCCCAATCATCGACCAGTTTATGCAAGTCATCCGTGAACATCCCTTTCTTGCTGGCCGGAGTCTGCTGACAAGAAGCAGTGCTGCTGACGATGCAGAGCTGGTCTAGGAAGAAGATGTTTTACAATGCAGGTTCCAGAAAAAGATTGTCTCAAACACTAACATCTGAATATTGCTTGCCTCTTGGGGAAAGGGAAAGGTAGGAGCTAGAAGTAGAGTTGTGATGCTATGTGGGTCAAAAAAAGGTCTATAGCTAAAAAATCTCACATTTGGTTGAATAAGCCAGTGGTTCCCAAATTGGATAACCCAGTTGTTTTTAGACTGCAGTTCCCAGAAGCCTTTACCACCAGTTGTGTTGGCCTGGGTTTCTAGCAGCTGCAGTCCAAGAACATCTGGTTGGGAACCACTGGAATAAGCTGTGCAAATAGCCAATCAGAGTATCTACTGTCTCGAACAGTAGCCTGCCATTGAGTTTAGACTACGGCAGCAGAGGAATCTAGGAAAAAGAATTTGGAGTAGATGGACTGCCCCAGAAGATGACAAAGGATAGCATGGCATGACACCTATGGGAGGAAGTGGGCCCTTTTGAATCAAAGGAACTTATAAATGAGTTGACTCACTAAATCCCCACTAATTCAATGGGGCTGCTTTAGTGTGACCTACTGCACTAAGCAACAAGATTTCAGTCACTGCATCCTTAACCCAGGAATGCAACTACTGAGATACTGATTACTTAAAATAGCAGGCAGGTGAGCAATGGTCTACCAAGTAGTTTCAGCTGTCAGAGAAACGTTAAAAGTTGTTTCTAAGGCAAAGAATAGAGGATGTCAAAGGAAGCAAGTATTTTATATACCATATTTTTTTGTGTATAAGACGATACTTTAGTCTAAGATCTTTAGATTAAAAATTGAGGTTCATGTTATACACAGAAGTAAGCTGAGGAGAGAACAAAATGCCCCATACCTTGCCTCTGCAAACAGTCTTCTTTCAACCACGAGCCTTATGGAACTGATGTCAGCTGATGCTGAATAAACCAATTGGAACACACCTTGTTGGAGGTGGAGCTGCAGGCAGTGCTCAGATGTAACAGGGACTCATAATGTCCAAGTGTTCTGAGCCTAGAATACTCTTAAGCTAAGATTTCTTAATTTTGTGTTAGAAAAGGGGTGTGTGTTTCTTATACATGAAAAAATACAGTACATAAGATGTCACAGGAAACACACACACACACACACATAAAAAATCCATAAATTCCCAGTGTGTCTGGGAAGTCAATTTTGGGTCTGTTCATTCTTTTGTGGAGAAATTCAATGTGCACCTAGAGCATACACCCTTTTTTCTGAGGGCAGGTATACTGAAATGGGTTTCCTCTCATTTCAAATGTGAAGAATGCCTCTGCATATCTAGAGAGAAAAAACTATTTGTAAAAAATTGAGGCAAGTCACTGTGCACAGCTCAACTTTATGCAAACCAAGATATCTAAATTGTTACTGAAACACAGGATGAAATCTACAAGTACCTTGATTTGTCTCGGCTTGTGAACAGCCCTGGTGTTGCAGCAAATGGGCCTGAATGCTCAACTGATAGTCTATCACAGAGGCAGCAGTTGTGGCACAACAGCATTCTGTGGAGCAGAGAAATGGGGGTCAGAAGCACACTTAGAAGCAAGAAAGCTATCTTTTGGATTGAGGGTGAGGAGCAAGACAAAGAGAAGGACTTTATCTATATTCAATATCTTCAGTTTTTTTCTAAACAATTTGAGCATATAACTGTAACTCAGTCTACAGAGACCTTTTTTTTAAAAAAAACTCAGTTTGCATGGGGTGAGGGTCGAAATTATTCTAAGCCAGGCAGTTGTGTGGAAGTTCCTGACTTTTGCTGTGTCTGACAGGAATAAGCCAGCAAGAAAAGAAGCAGCATTTCAGCTCTTGCTAGCACTCCCATGGCGAGAAATGTGAAATTAAGATGGGAGGTTCCTCCTGGGGATAATAACCACTTATTAAAGACTCCATCTCATACAACCGCAAGCATCACCATTTTGCATTATATCTGGGAAGCCTTAGCCCTGATCCATTTTTCCACACTGGTATTGGGGATGGTCACCCCTTACCTACTTCCTTACCAGCAGCAACAAGGCCATTGTCAACATGCGAGAGGGATTGGGGCCTGCTACGTAGCTTGCTTTTGAAAGACTTGGGCCGTCGTGGGGAGGAGAGTTGCAGGGAGACCTCTGAAGATTCTGATCTGCTCTCTTTGATGGAGCGGAGGCGTTCGTATAACTCCTGCAGCTCCCTGTTCTGCTGAGCCTGAAGGTTCACTACCTCCTGGATGTGCCTAAACAGAAGTGAAGGAGAAGAAAGCCTTATCAAGAAGCATGCCCGCTGTGCCAGAGCTTGGAAAATTACCTTTTTTTAAAAAAAAAAAATCCTTTTATAATGTTTAGGAAGGAATTAATTTTTTTATTACAGGGTTTTTTTGTGGATTGGATTGGATTGGATTAGACCATCCCTTACTCCCACAGTGGAGACCCAAGGCAGCATACAAAAATTTAAAATCAACAATTAACACAAACCAACTGAAATTTCAAACTATAGTATACAAACATATTTGAAAACTATAAAGCAGACTTTAAAAGACCTTTCCATCTTGCTGACGTCCCAAAACCCTGGAAAAGCCAAAAAAGAACAACTGCACCTCTCATGGAAGGTAGTTCCATAAGTTGGGAGCAGCCACAAAAAAAAAAAAAGCCTTCTCTCAAGTCCTCACCAGATATGTTTGTGAAAGTGGTGGGACTCCCCTGAAGATCTTAATATACATGGACCTCATACAGAAGGATACGATCTTTCTGATAGCCTGGACCTGAACTGCCACGGGCCTTACAGGTCATGACCAGTGCTTTGAATAGGGCCCCAAAATGAGCCAGCAGCCCATGAAGGTGTTGTAACAAGATGGGTCACCCAATAGTTCACAAAAGGAAAAAAAAATCTATGTGGTCCTTGTATACAGAACAGATGCATGGGGCTATAAAAGGTACCCTGAACCACTCAGGGCACACACTATAACCAAGAATGACCATCCATCAAGCAAGACTGCAAATGAAAGGCAACATTATTGTCCAGCCATTAGGTAATGCTATTAATTTGGCTGTAACTAGCTTACCTAGTGGGTAAACTAAACTTTATCCTAACTTCTCTGATGGCAGGGGTGCCACATTTTGGTGTCACCCTGAGCCCCAGCTGAGGAAATGGAACTTTTGCTTCAGTGTAAAGCAATGAAAGACTGGGGTGAAAGATTGGAATGCTGAATGGCTGGCAGCCTTTGTCTGGCAAGTTTGGGACAGCTGAATCAACATTCCTAGAAATGAAATTTAAAATGAACACTCCTGGCTTGACTTTGCAGCCCTCATTTTGAAGCTGGCATAGGCATCTAGCCATGGTTTTTGGAACTCCTGAATTATTACTGCACCCAAATACAGATAATTGGTGCCTAACCTGGTGAAGGCCCACATGGGCTGAAACCTAGCATTTGTTTATGATTTTTTATTAGCTGAACAGAAGTATCACCCAACCCCTACACTCTGGATGGTGGATAAGAACCACATGGCTTTCCTCCTTTTTGTTTAATTAAGGCATGTATTACCCTAACCAAGTCAGGTGTCTCAAGGAATGGGCATAGTTTTGTACACTAATTTTAATTGTGCAAACACACCACCGACCTGGGTATCCAGGCTCAAACTGGAACCCAGAAGTACAAACAAGTTACACTCCTCAGTTTTCAGGGGAAGTGCAATCTCATCTAGTACAGCTTGACTTCCATTCTGGTCTGTCTTTTGATTGACCAGGAGCACCTCTGTCTTGCTTGGATTAAGCTTCAATTTGTTTATTTATTTATTTATTTATTGGACTTATATACTGCCCCATAGCGCTACAAGCACTCTCCGGGCGGTTTACAATTTTTAATTATACAGGCTACACATTGCCCCCCAGCAAGCTGGGTACTCATTTTACCAACCTCGGAAGGATGGAAGGCTGAGTCAACCTTGAGCCGGCTACCTGGGATTTAAACCCCAGGTCGTGAGCACAGTTTTAGCTGCAGTACAGCGTTTTAACCACTGCGCCACGAGGCTCTTAACCTTCGTTCACTCCATTACCAACCCCAGGCTGCAATGTTGATTGACTGATTAGATTCACTGATTAAACATCTTCTGATTGATTAAAAGGTTGTGCTCATTGAACAGCAAAATAGTACATTAACGATTTGTAAGTTGAACATGTATAAATCCATGATGTTTTGGATGCTTCTTAGAAGGGACACTGCTGCTTCTCTCACACAGGGGAGACTACTACTTTTAAAAGCATGTCTGCTATAACACAAACAGGCTTTGTCTTTAAAAAGTCAACTTCCTTCTCCATAGGTAAACATATGGAAATTCAACTAATTCATTTATTCTAATTTATATGATTAGTCCAGTAAGAATTGTAATAAGCATGGTTGGGGAATTCTGCGAAACAGATCAAAAAATGAAAAATAACTGTTCCAACGTCTGGATATTTTTAAGTGGTAATGTAATGGAGCGCAGAGATAATTCAATTATGCTCCACTCTTTCTAAATGGCAGCTCCTCTTTGGTGGTAAAATCACTACCAAGGTGTTTAGAAGGCCCAATGCTAGCGCTCTTACTTCTCACGCAAACGCTGCAGTTCCACCTTCAGATCTTCATCTTCAATCTCTGATTCATCGTCACTGCTCATTGGGGAAGATGGGGAGTAAAAGTGGGTACTGCGCCTCTTAGTGTGGTTGCCACCCATCTCCTCCTGTGGCCGCTGGCTTCGCTCCCAGCCCTCCAGGCTACCACCCATAGGAGCTGAAAGCTCACTGTCAGAGCTAGGCTGCTTCCGTACAAAACCACCACTTTTTGACCAGGGCTCTGAGGAAGACTGCATGCTGCTAGCCGTAGCCGAGGTCTCCTCCAGTTCCCGCTGCTCTGGGGTGGTGGAAGATGCATCGGTTTCACCCACAGCAGCACCAGTCAACACAGCAAATGCTCCCAGTTTGGGAGAGCCTTCTTTTGTTCCAGGCTCTAAGGAAGGAGGCATCTCACAAGCTTTGCCTTCTGAACCACCTGAGGCCAACTGTTGCGGTACTGTGATCACCTGGGGCAAGCAGAGAAAAGGAGGGAGAAAAAGAAGGCACGTTAGCTGGGTAAATTAATAAACTCCCTCTACCAGACAGTTATGTTTAGAATAGGACAGAAAAGCAGACAGTGTTGGATTCCCAAGAGACAGAAATGCTAATGCAAACTAGTGCTGCAGCCTTGAACTTCATGAGGTGCACCCAGTGTACTCAACATGACCTAAGGAGCTTGCAAACAAGGCTTTCAACATGCAATCACTCAGTCTCTATCCTGGAGTAGATCCAGACATAAACATCTTCAATTTACTCCACTGTCTCCATATTTTTCAGCTGCTTTTTCCTTCTTTTTCTGAAATCCAAAAATATTTGCTACAGGAACAGGCAACATGGGATAGCTACACTACATCTCTTGACTGGAGGCACAACAAGCTATCTGTCAAGATGGAAACTTGCATTTGTGCAAACCCCCACCTCCACCATCAGACTGCAGAGTTGGAGCAAATTAGAACAGAGCAAAAGACTACAAGGGCAAGAAGCCAGCATTCTTGGGATTTCATGGAATACCTATTTCACATTCCTTATTTCTCAATGGCAAAAACTTCATTTACACCAAAAGCTACATAAATGCACACAAAAGCTCTGATATGTATGGCCTAAATAAGAGAGCAAATACTTACCTTCCATTCAAAAATTGGGAAAACAATATAATAGTCCATGCCAAAACAGACCTGGACTGCAGTGGCATAAAAGTCAGCTGATGTTATGGTTAAAAATGCCACACAAAACAAGGAAGAATCTTCTCAGAAAGATCAAAAACAATGGTCCGAAAAAATATTTGTACAGACAGTATTCCAAAGAAAAAAATACCAGTGGGAGAATGGGAGGGGGTCAATAGGAAGGTTTATAGATTCCATTAAAAGTGCCTTTGAATGAGTAGGGATCAATAGGCCTTGTAAAGGCCTGGCAAGGAACCCTCTCAACTGCAGCAGGACTGTCGACAGCCACGCAGGGAGCAGACGGAAAAGAACAAAGTGGTTTCATAAAGACTGCGACACAGTGGGAGGGAGGGGTGAGAGGAAAGCATTACAGCCATTTAAGTTTAAAGGATAGGAATCTACTGATACAGCTTTGTATAATGCTCACTGTGAAATACACACCATGAGAACAGAAAATGCTACCGCACTAAAAAGAAGGGAGAGTGTATGAACTACTGCAGAGAAAAGAAGCGAAAAACACTACCCTTACTCTGCTGGAGAAGCCTGGAATAAATGTAAGCTAAGCCATCACTATCACAGACTAACCTCTAAAAAAAAACAATCACTCCCAGTTTTCACTCATCTTTTTAAAAAAGTACCAAAAGATCCACTCAAAACAGCTCCAACTGAAAAATGAAGTAATTAAGAAAGGTCTCAACAATTAATATCTTAGACAATGTTACCATTTTTCACAGAGTAAACACAATTACCTGAAAAAGCCTTGTACATTTTCTCATGATATATTTCATAGCTGTTTGTTGGACAGCAATCAAAAGCAGTGAAATTAAGGACCCATTACTAAGTTTCTGAAAGGCTTGCAGAACTGCAAAGAAATCCAGGAAATGCAGATCTTTTAGCAGATACATGAGAACCTGTGGGCTGTAGGCTCTCAGCTGACTAGCTTCCATACATTTCTCCGCTGTTCCCTGCACTAATCAGCTAGGGCTGGTGGACAATAGGATTGCTGTGACCCCAGCCTACATGTGGAAAGAGAGAGAGGAGGGGGGAGAGGGAGGGAGGGAGAGAGACAGAGAAGGTGGATGGCATGTGGTCCCTGACTCAGGGACAAACATGGTGGCTACTTTAGTATAGAAACTATTAGAATGGAGATAATGTCTTTACAAAGTCAGCAGGGATGGGGGATCGCCTGGGTCCCCTTCCCTTCTTTTTCTATGCCCAATTGGGCATTGGAAGAGGGGGGGAAGCCTGATAGATGAAGGGGCAAATATAAAAGGGTTATAGTCATTGCTTCATATTCATCAGGGTCTCTGGACCTCAAGAATACAAAGCAATGAATATCTGACAAATCAGCGATTGTCTGAAGACAACTTGCCACAGGACTAATTACAAACGATTCTTCCTTCCTCTTTTCCTTTGCATGCCAAGTGAGAAATCCACAAAGAAGACATTCAAATGTTTCTATATTGTCAAGTATGGGTTCCAAAGCTTCTACCTTGGGTAACTTTAACTTTAGAAGTTACTTCGCAGCAGATAAGCACAAGATCTATCATAAAACACCTCAGACATTCAGGATGAAATGCTTTAAAGATAATATTACAGTATAGCTGTTCTTTCCCCCCCCTTTCTGTCCTTCTTTCTTACTTGCTGCAGAATTAGCAAAGGGAATCAAATACGAGTATAGACTCCCCTAAAGGAATCTTGAATAGATAGTCAGAGAACAGAAGAAATATTCAGCTCAGGAGGAACTGGAGAAGCAAGAAAGACCCAAAAGATTGCACACTGAACCATCACTGAAGACCTCAAGCAATGCCTTGTTGCTTTAGCTAACTCATGGTTATATGTATACTGTAATATCCTTCTTATCAGAAACTATCCCAGCCCACATCTTCCAGAAATAATGCAAAGCTTTGAAATATATTCAGTTGGTAGGCTAATATAATGTAAAGTGATGGCATTCTTGAACCATCAGTGAAAAGGTACTGTGTGGCTACAGCCTACCCCATCATCTCTTGTGGATTTTCCCCAATAAGAAAAAATACAAAGAAACTGTATAGGAAAAAGATACAAAAGGATAGGGAAATCTTAAGAGGAAATGAAGCCTATATATATATGTCTGGAGTGACCTTGTTGTTGTTTAGTTGTTGTGTCCGACTCTTCGTGACCCCGTGGACCTGTCTTCCATTGCCTCCTGGAGTTTGGTCAAATTCATGTTGGTAGCTTCGATGACACTGTCCAACCATCTCGTCCTCTGCCGTCCCCTTCTCCTCTTGCCTTCCCCAACATCAGGGTCTTTTCCAGGGAGTCTTCTCTTCTAATGAGATAGCCAAAGTATTGGAGCCTCAGCTTCAGGATCTGTCCTTCCAGTGAGCACTCAGGCTTGATTTCCTTCAGAACGGATAGGTTAGATCTCCTTGCAGTCCAGGGGACTCTCAAGAGCCTCCTCCAGCACCACAATTCAAAAGCATCAGTTCTTCGGCGGCCAGCCTTCTTTATGGTCCAGCTCTCAGTTACATACATCACTACTAGAAAAAAAGTAGCTTTGACTATGCGGAGCTTTGTCGGCAAGGTGATGTCTCTGCTTTTTAAGATGCTGTCTAGGTTTGTCATCGCTTTCCTCGCAAGGAGCAGGCGTCTTTCATATTGTGGCTGCTGTCACCATCTGCAGTGATCATGAAGCCTAAGAAAGTCAAATCTGTCACTGCCTTCATATCTTCCCCTTCTCTTTGCCAGGAGGTGATGGGACCAGTGATGGGACCAGTGGTCATGATCTTAGTTTTTTTTATGTTGAGCTTCAGACCATTTTTTGCACTCTTCTCTTTCACCCTCATTAAGAGGTTCTTTAATTCCTCCTCACTTTCTGCCATCAGAGTGGTATCATCTGCATATCTGAGATTGTTGATATTTCTTCCGGCAATCTTAATTCTGGCTTGGGATTCCTCCAGTCCAGCCTTTTGCATGATGTATTCTGCATATAAGTTAAATAAGCAGGGGGACAATATACAGCCTTGTCATACTCCTTTCCCAATTTTGA